TGTTTCAGATGAGTCACTTTGCAGCTCCACCATCAGCTTTGCCCATAACATCCTGCACTTCAGTTCCTGACTTCTTCCTCTACATCCTCTAACAATACCACATTCCAAGGCAGTGCAACAAGTTTAGAAAAAGCAGTGTATCTTACCTTTCTTAGTTCTCACAAACAATTTAGTTTTAAATATCTTTTTGCACATATTAAGGGAACTAACTCAAATTTCGCATTTGCAGTGAGGCTATTCAGTAGCAGTAGTGATGATGAACTAAACCCAAGAAACTACAATCAAGAGGTTGTTGACACTGAGCCCTTCTAAGCTTTCATAGAAATGTTTTGTGTTCTCTTACAAGACAACTTGCAGCTCTGATCTGCACCAAGTTCTGTCATATTTTGCAGAAGCAACATGGACAGAAGCACAACTGGTCGATCTAAAAAGTTCTTGTTTCAAGCACAGGTATCAGAATCCACCAAAACTAAATTCACAGAACATCTATTGTCAAAGTAATTTAAAGACTCAAGGTATTAAGCTGTACCATGGAATAGCTGTTGCACCTATACGTTATGAATTTGTCACCTTTCGAGAGATTATATGTTTCGCATAATGCATGAATGGACCAGCTGGGATGAGTCAGATATGCCATCCTGAGAAAACAAATGCACCTTTGCTTCCTGAAATACTATCCACAAAGCCAACTTCTGGTTAAAGGCAAAAGTTTAAAAATGCTGTAAAATCTGCATTCTTTAAAATGACAGACTTTAAAAGCCTTGCAAGAAAATTAACTGCAGTTAGAGAGAAAATATACCAGAAAATAGTTTACCAAACAAGAATATAAGTAACTTTCACAGCCTCCTTAGTAGTTGACTAGATTGAAAACAGAGGAAGTCAGTTTGCTCTGAATATACAAGCACTTCACAAGCAGTCCTCCTGCTACCTTGTATAGGACCCTTGAAACACAACTCTTTTGCCACACCATATACTGCTCCTAACATTTCAGACCTTTTATATTGATATATGAGCATGAGAAAGATTAGAGACGTGAGAGCAATGTTTAAGTGACTGGGATGAGAGAGCAAACAGTACAAAATATCCTCTTCCCATTCTGCCTTCACTTTTCCTTTAAATTCTGTCACTATTGATTAGGTAGAGATCAGAAAACTGTAGAGGTGTAGGAAGAATGAAATAGTGAAAATGGTAGGCTTGTCACAAGTGTGAAGTGTTTATTAAAAGAAGGAAGTTTTTAGCTCTTTCTCACTTCTAACTTGGGAAAAAAAATCACGTCTGTTTCTTCTGAAGTAGGAAATTGCGAGTTGGACAATGCAGCTGGAGAAGGGAAAGGAAAAAAGCTGAAAAGAGCCTCTTATTGCAGCAGCGAGTTCTCAGATGGCTCAGTCAGTTCTGTACTGAAACTCCTAAGCAAGTAAAAATTCATGGCAAAACCACGGCCTTAAGAGAGCAATGTAAAGCTCTTGTTTAAGAGTCTCATCCTCCCCACAAATGCCGTAGCTCAATTCAGACTATGCCACCCTGAGCAGCAGATTGCTTCACACCACTCAAGATTTCTGCATGCTAAGGCTATAGTCTCGTCATGGCTGATACCAGACATATTCACACTACAGATCAGATACCCAGCTTCCATCAAAGTCAGAACCCATGCAACTGTTCAGGCAGCAGAAACACGCTATAAAGCCTTTGTACAGGATTCCTTTTGTTCTTTAAGATACCAGGAGACCATTTTGTACCATGTGGCCATGACATTCTTCCCCCAGTACTAAGTAGCCCAGAACTCTATTTAGCATCCTCTATAACCACAGTGTCAGCCATAAATAAGACTCCAATGCTATGCCCTTCATTGAGAAAGCCTTTCAAAATTCCCATTCAATGCCCTTGCTTGACTTGTCTCCAGAACTTCTCTCCACCTTCACAACGCTGTACTGCACACTGGCCACACCAAGAGGCACTAATGCTACAGGAGGAGAGGTGGCTCATGAACCAGGACAACCTGACACAGCCCCACCTTCATCAGCCTGCTCTTTCTTTCTGGTCTTGTACTGCCTCCTACTGACTTTTTGTACAGTAAAGCTGTAAGACAATCCAGATGAAAAAAAAATGGGAAAAATAAGAATATTTCCAGTGTATCTTAGCTAATTGGTCCCCTAAGCGACTCGACTACACAGTGCAGAGGTGCCCCAGGGCCGGAATGAGTTACCAGAAAAGCCCAGGAACTGAACCATCAGTGCTGCCAGTTATTTTAGGCATCTGAAATAATTCACTTGAAAGATCAAGTCCTACAAACTAGGTCAAAAAGGGCAGACCATGTCATCTTCCTAAGAAACTGCCAACAATCTGCAGGACATTTAGCAATTTGCTAAAGCAATTTTTATACTCTATGAATACATGCACATCTTATGCACATAAATATTTCAACAAAATGACAGAATTTAATTCTTTCAGTGCCGGCTTTTCTGCATGCAGTTCAAAAGTACCTGCATTGTTTCCTCTGCCTTCTGTATGTAGGTCCAGGAAATACAGCTACCATAGCACTTTGCAGGTAGGTGGCAGAAAGCTGCAACTAAGCAGTTTCATAATAACACAATTACAGAATTAAAAAAACTCAACCACCACAACTTTGACAGTGCCATTTATGTTATACACTTAGACTTGCATCAGTTTCTTTAATCAACTACAACCTTTTCTCCCTCAATCCCAACCTAAAGAACATTTTTATGTAAAGACCAATGAATTATGATATTATTAGTTACTTCTTTGAAAATCCCTCTATGGACTTTTAAAATATGTCTTTCAGTCAAAATCAGTTATATTTAAATTCATTTCTATTGGAAGGAAACATGTCTTTTTCCATCATGTTTCAGATTCAGCAGTATAAATCAAATACTCAAAGGCAACTAAATAATTTGGTATTTCCATTTTAAAAAAGAGTTGGTCAAAACAAATTCCAAATACACAATTACAGTATCCACATATAGTATATGCTTAAATCACAGAAAGCAGAATTTCCCTGATGTATCCATGACTCAACCTCAGGGGTTACATCCATGCTGCACGTTTAGCAAGGTTCCTGCTGTCTGTCTGCAAGCAAGCTTTTAGCCTGGATCACAGATCCCACCCAAACAGCTCTCAAGTGTTTCCTGGCCCAGAGAGCTCTGCCTCACCCGAATGAGGTATGGCATTGTACACAATACACTAGTACTAGACTAAGAGCTATATTCCAGTAAAGATGGTGGTTTATTCCTTCCTTTTCCTCCATTTCACTTCAAAAATCAAACAGGATGTCTTAAAATATCTGTAGTTTAAGTGAACATATTTGACTTTATCCTGGATACCATGAAGGAAATACCTCACGCAGCCAGTATTGTTACAGGAAGGAAGCAACTTCTAAGTAAACCATCAGTGCAGCATCTGTTGTCTTTCACTTAAGATTCAAATTCTTAATCTGGTCACAAAAGCAGTTGGACAGTGTAAGCCCAGCGCAGCAGTGGCAGGCTCAATGAAAATGAGGCAGATGATGGCTGTGCACCTAAAGAATAAACTGACTCTGAAGCTGTACATCTGAAAAGGGGTACTTTGCCAGTTTAATCATCTCCACTCTGGAAAAGCAGCCTGCTTTCCCACCGGGAGCTGCTTGAAAGTCATCTGATTTACAAACATGTCAAAAATAACACTGTGCTTACTCTACTGAAAAAAATAATTGTTTTTTCACACTTAAGCCTGAGAAGCTCCCCTCCTCAATTCCCCAAAGCATGTATTAATAAAGTCTACATTGTTATAATAATAAATAAATACAATCTGACTGTTCACTCCATTCCTGGTTAAACATATTAATAAACATTTTCCTCCACATGAATCAATTTTAAAGTAGTCCTAATCTACATGCTAACATTTAGATAAGTTTGATACCAAAATCTAGATCCATTTATCTAGTAAGACAAAACAAACTGACAGCAGCAGCTGTTTTTATCAACTAGCAGGGCATTTATCAACTTAATGGAAATATTTTTAAAGTACAATGTTATTAATGGCATATAATTTGGTAATATGTGACCTACGTATCTTACCAAATCATTAAATGTCAATTTATGTGAAAATAAAAGATACAGTTTTTTCCTTTAATGTCATCGTAGTTTTTCATGTACTTTTCCCCTAACAATACTAATAAACACACTATATTTTTCCAGAAAGACTTAATTTTCTATCACACTGAGTTCTTACTAGATTTTAGTATACTACAACCTAGTGTAATTAAAAGAATAGACCTTCTTTCCTATGCCCAAGTTATCACAATGGATAAAAATCACAATTTGTGGGTACTTACAGAATGTGAATCTCATCTTGCATAAAGCTAGACAAGGATTATGCCCTGTACCCATGCCTGGTACTTGGAAAGGCAACATACTGCAGGGTTGGTACTGTAATTATTTCCATCCTTGAAATGAGAGACATTTTGAAAACAAAAGCTTTCAGGGCAACTAACCTTTGCCTCTGTCATCACATGTTATTGCCAAGTAATATGCACCCAACTGGAGCTAATCACATAAATGGCATCTGTTACACAATCATGCAGCATTTTATCCTATGCACACATTGTAAAGCAGGACAGGTAAGTACCATTTTAAGAGGAATGAAAGGCTACTGAAAATATATATGGAAAGGAAAAATCTCATTTACTTCACTAAAACTTGGAAAATATCTTAAATAAAACTATTTTATTTCTATTCTGTGCATTTGTGTTCTCTCATTTTAATAATAAAAGAATCAGTTGTACTTTCACTTATTTAGTTTCTACAATATTTCTGTTGCAGACAGCAATGAAATATTTTGTTGCTCTCTTTGTGAACTTATGTCAGACTGACACTTTTTCATTTTATTTGCAGAATTTTCATGGTGTTGTTTCAGCATAAAAGTTTTGGAGTTCGTTAATTATCAGGTTAAACAACACCACAAGTCAGTGAAACAAGTTTACAGAAGGATTTAAAGGATACAGCGTGTTTACAGAATCCTTTGGTTATATTTACTAAAAGACAAATTACACTGACAAAGACCACAGTACAAAAACATTTGGTTTAATTACTTTTAGGATTTCCTTTACTGTTTTCAGTGTTCACAGTATAAGAGATGAAGTCCCTCACCCCCCAAGAAAACAGATAACCACAGGCCAATTAGTCTATTCAAAGGCACTCAGTTTGCTTTTTAAGTTTGGCAGACACCAAGCTGCTATTTCTTCCATCATTTGCTGCCCAAACAGTTTCTTCAAAAATTCGTTCAACACAATAGATTATACTCAGTGACCAAGCACAAAATCGCATTAATTTATGTGAGAAATTTATTTTGTTAAACAAAATATTCATGAGCTTACAAAACTGATTTTACCAGATGAGGCCTTTGGCCAATTTTGATTTTTTTTTCCCTTTAGCGCGCTGAGCCTTAAGCTTCTTTCTTTGCCTGGAATTCATCCATATTGGGTACTGTCCATGCTGGTCTAGAAGAGTTTTTTTGTTTCGTTTATTATCCAGCTCCATTTTGCAGTCATCTGAAAATTAAAGGTATTTTTAATGAGTAAAATATTTGAATCACTCCATAAAAGCTATTTTGTTACTAGATCTCCCAAAAAATAAATATAAATAAAAATATCCCTAGACTCAACAGTATTTGCACATTGAGAACTGAAAGGTTTACAAACTGAAAGCACTTTCCAAACCAGTGCAACTGCAACCCAGGAACTTCAACAGTTGATAGATAATGTTCCTAAAGGCCATGTGTGGGCAAAGCATCTTATTCTTTAGTCTGCAACGTGTTCCAATCCTGTGTCTAAGAACACTGTATATTCCATCACGGAAACATGAATGAAGCCATAGGCTTACTGAAACATATGTGCAATTGCACACTTTTTATGATGTCATGTTTAAGATCTGCTCTAAAAATTTATTCTGAGTGGAAGATGAAGGCAACTAAAAAGAATAGTAAAGATAAATGCTGAAATACAGTAGGAAGTATCAGTCAGTGATGCCATACTTTCCTCAAGGAGTGAGCATGACATCAGGTCTAACATATTTACAGGCAGAAAGAGAGGATTAATCTCTAGGATGAGGAAGACTGCCCATGACACGGTCACTCCCAAGAACAGCGTCCCCAGCTGGTTAACACCCCACGGAAGTCATGTCTCGGTGAGATAACAAGGTGCAAGAGGAACACCTTAATAAGTACTGACTGAAATCAGTGCTCTGCAATTTCATCTCAACCTCGTTCCCACACCATATGTGTGGCAACTCAAGCCTTTACCACAAGTTTTATAGAGAGGAAAATACTTTTATGTTGTGCTTGTCTGATGTTGGGAGACAAAGTTCACAACGAAAAGGCCAGTGTGCTGCTTCAATAGTTGAAACTGATAGTCTACAGCAATCTGCATCAGAGATGTGCTACTGGAGCCCTAAACTGAGGGACTTGCAAATACTTGCAATCAGCAGAGAATCAGCACAGGGGCTTGGTGGCAGAACCAAAAGCCTATTCAGCGTGGCAGACCTTACATTATTTTCTTCTTGAGGAAAAACTGAAAAAAAAAATTCACTGTACTATAAACAATACCCTAAAGTAACACAACAAAATGTCTGAAATATATACCTATATACTTTCTTTGGCTGAAAATTATTTATCTGTCTGCAGGAAGTACATATTATGCCTGAAGATTTTATCCACTTCAGTTCTTGTAACACTTAGTGACGTGAAGTCCTTTGCGTCCTTAGTCCTGAAAAGTCCCCTCAAAGAAGACATCATTACTTTCACAAAACTTGCAGCTGTTTTGTGAAATACTTATTTTCTTAGGTATTTCTGAGGCTGCTATCTCTCTGCAAAAGCCAAGTGTACAGAAGTTGCCAGCAGAGTTGGGAAGAGGTGTAGGAACAACAGAGTCTTGCATTTACTTCAGAAACTAGGTTTAAGGCAGTGATTTCTCCTTCAACTTCAGCATCAGAAGTCTGACAATGTTCCAAAAACATTTTGGAAATTCAGTTCTAACTATCCCTTAAAGAGTAACTTCTACACCTGGTTTGTGGAACAAATCAGAGCCATAGCTAAAATTACAAATTATACTTGAAGCTACCCTTAATTGGACAAGTATTTTGATAAACCATTCTATTTCCATTTCCTGTATCAGAACATCTTAAGTGCCACAAACTGGAGAATCAAAGTAAGACTATGATTTTGTATGAATGTCAGTTTTGAAAAGAGGAGGTGTCTTTCTGACTCCTATCCAGTATGCAGCTATTTAAAAACCTTCGTTTCCACTTACTGAGTTATTTCCACTTCAGTTTACATTCGATTCCAGACACAAGGAGGAAGATGGCATTATCTGTAGACACCTAATACCACCCACTCCTGCACCACGTGCAGTACAACACTAATTAGTATTCAGAAACTGGTACTACTCCTACCCCAACTTCAGTATGTTTAGTAGTCTCCTCAAATTAGGACAGTTCGGCAACAACTCTTAAGCGGTGAATCCGCATTCGCCTGATGTTATCAGAGATGTCTCCCCATACAATACATTACATACTTTACATACTAAAGCCAAATGTTAATAACCTTGTTCCGCAAGTAACCGGATACGATATGGATGGCAGTGTTGCGAAATGACCGCATTAAGCTTTTAGCTTTAAAAGACAACCTTTCCGACTCACTGTTCTCAGCCTGTAATAACTATACGCGTGATCCCGGCGGTGAAAGTCACAGGATCAGTAACAACACTGCAGGACTCCTGCACCTGGGCGACTGCAGCAGGAAAAAACAGCCAGAGCCCGACTCACCTCTCTGCTCCAGAACTTTCTTGGGGGGCAGCACGGTCGCCACCTCCTTGACCTCCTCCATTATGACATCCGCATTGGTTCCCAAGATCTTCTTCAGCCTCTCCAGCTCCTTGGGCGCGTTCTTCTTCCTCTTCTCCGCCCGCATCTTCCTTCTCCATTTGCTCCTCAGGCTCTTCGCCATGTCCTACGAGGAGGGAAGCTGGAGCGGCTGAAGGAGGGCCGCACACGCCACGCTCACCGACCACCACACACCCTCGCGGAAGGCCGCGCTACCCACCCGCGCATGCGCAAACGGAGGCACCCAGCCTCCCGCGAGGGTAGATGGGCCCTACCGTAACTCTCCGAGAGAGAGCGCAGCCGCCTTCCGGCTTCCCGCCTCTGCGGAACTGTGCCCAGACACCGCTGCGCAGCCAGGGCGAGGGGGAGGCATGAAAGGATAAACATGTGTACAATCAGAACATAAAACGTAAGGTGTTATTCTTAGCTCCTGCCTTAGCGCTATTCTGAATGAAATCCTAAGGCAAAGGGAGAGACTATCACATTTGCTCAAACTCATTCGCAGTCGTACTTCGACAGCCTTACGGAAAGCGCACCCGGTCCCAGCAGGAGGCAGGCAGGACGGGCATCTTTGCCCAAGTGCTGCATTCCTCGTCGCTCACTTCTCACTGATAGGACGGGCAAGCAGTAACACTGAATAGGAAGGAAGCCTTTCAAAATCGTTTTCACGCTCCCTGCCTCTCCAGCACCTCCACAGCGTGGGAAGCAGCCACAGTCACAGGACCTCTACCATTGCCAGCACCGACCCGTCTGCAGCATTCACTCCCAGCATCCTGACAGGTCTCAGTTGTAAGAACGGGCTTTCCAATTTTTATTGACACAGAGTGAGTTTTATTATACATAAGTTGATAAAATGCCATATTCAATCTCCAAATTTTTCAGAACACTGAAGATGGGCAATAAATAATACTAAAATCAAGAACATTCCCTTTAATTGCTTTAACACCCTCACAGCTTCCATAGCAACAGCCCTTAACAAGGACAGAGTATCTCTATCAGAGACAGCATTTCATTTTACCGAACAAAACCAAAAAATTGTCTTAATAAAACATTACACAATGGTAAACTCACACTACCCTTATGTGATACACAAATGAAAGATCAATCCCAAAGGAAACATTTTCAGCAGCTAGAGAATAGCAGGGAAGCTTACTCTGGAGCAATCAAGAGCTGGCAAAATGTTAATAATTAATTACACTACAAATTAAGTGATTTAAAAAGTGACTGTAATGATGGCAGCACGTTAACTACATAAAATACATGGTCTGGAGAACAGCTGCAGCTATGTAAAAAGCCATTTTCCCCCTAAGAAGGGATGAATATTCATGGAATGCAAACATAATAAAGATTCAGTCTTTAGAAGGCAGAATTACCGAATCTGCAGATCATCCAAATGCTTAACTTTATTTGTGGTATAGTCAAACTATACCTCTTTGACTATTTTTTATTAAATGCCCCCAGAAAATGCAGCAGGTGTAAGAACAGATTTATGATGTCCAAGTAGAGACTGATTGCAGCCACTATGTACTCTTCAGGGGACAATTTGTGCATCAACAAATGAGTGTCATAAATAATAAATCCACAGAACAGAAGCGATCCAGCAGCAGCAAACACCAACTCTATTGTCTCACAATAGAAAAGCAGCTAGAGGCAGATAAAACATGAAAAAGATACTTGTGAATTTCATTTTTTTTAGTATTAAAATCCCTGCATAATGATATGCCACATTTCAAACAGTCTTTCTAGTGTTATGTAGATAAAACCACGGTATTATGGTGATATTTCAATGCTCATATTCCATACACTCTCCAGTCACACAATCTCTGACTGAGTAAAAGTGCCTCCACTTAAGAGGGAGAAGCTCTGGTCTCCAGAATACTAACAGCAGAACAACTAAGAAACCAAAATACAATTAAATCTCAAATCTCCTTCACATTCTCTTCATCAAGCAGTGGATCTCAACTGACGAATTTTGTCAATCAACCCAAATACCCCTCTTATGTTGGCAAGAACATCACTCAACAAAAACCTAAATTGAAAATGTGTGGTTAAAAGATCACCAGCATGATCCAGAACAGTAATGGATCTGGTTAGGAATTTGTTTTCACTAAGCTATATTGGGCTGATCCAAACCTTTTAGTTACATTAGAACTTAGTAAAAGGTCAGGCTTTGAGTGAGCTGATCTTAGTGGAAGGTATCCCTGCCCATGGCAGGGGGTTGGAACTAAATGATCTTAAAGGTCCCTCCCAGCTCACATCATTCTGTGATTCTGTGAATATCTTTTAACTGTGAACATGAAATATCTTACCCTCAAGAAACCCGACAAGATTAAAATCCACAAACAAGTGAAGAGGCTGAAAGAAAATAAATTACACTGTGACCAAAAATATATTTCTTTTAGACTTAAAATATCCTTTCTTCTAAAACCTCTTCACAATATATCTGTCAAGTAAATGTCTAGAATTCTTAGATTCCAACTGTTCACTGGTGTCAGCAGTAAAAGTTATATAAAGCTGTCAAAAGTTATGTTCTAACTAATTTTTTAAAAGATTTGAAACATCTGCCTTCTCTCTCAGTGAAAAGTCCAGGTAAACTAGTTTTATAATTGTTTTAAGATTCTTTACCATTGAAAAGAATTTACCAATGATCAAAACTGGGTAAAATTAATAATTTAAAATAAATAACCCTCACCATTCCCTGGTGAGGTTCTGTTGACCTGTATTCCTTATTAAACCTTCAAAACTTGATTTAAGAAAGAAAGAAAAAACCCCACCTTAACAACAACAAAAAAATTTTAAAAATCATCAATATGATAACATACCCTGCTCCAAATTTGCTGAAGTCTCTCTTTGACTGCAAGGTATATGCAGTCAATCCAAGAAATACAGCAGTAGTAAGAATAAAGGCTTGCAAGACAACGGAGACATCATAGAAACTCACTATAAACAGAAAAAGTAATCTGTCAATTAAAGAACACTACACTATGTATTTGCTGAGTTATCTTTTGAAGAAACAAAAATTTAAACTTAAATGTGAATGAAATTAAGTAAATTATGCCTGAACTTGTCTTTGCATTTCAAATTCAGGATCATAGGACTCAGGGATCTTGTACTAGCTAAGTTTGACAGTTACTTTATAGCTGCAGCTTCTTAAATGAAAATAACAGGCCTTCCACAGACAGAATTATGAAAACCAAACAAACAAAACAAAAATATTTTAAGCATGGGTAACAGAGATCTTAAGGAAAAAAAGTATATGAATTTTTCACAATACTGAAACAATGGGGAAAAAAAACCCAATTCCCTATAAAGTCTCGACGTTTTGTTTAGGGAACAGAAGGGGAAAGATAGCAGAAACAAGTGCAACCTTTTTCTTCCCTCCTTAATCTTTCTTTTCCCCAAATCAGGAGATCATAAGCCACAATGAAGAGGTTTCATCTCATGCTGTAAGGTATAGTTCAAGGTGATGCCATGACATGACATGACATGCCATGACACTATCTCATTTCAACCCTGACCATGAAGCACAGAACTCTCCAAAATCAGATTCCTTTCGAGGAAATTGAGGGGGCATACAGGACTATTTCAACTTGAAGATCAACTCTGCTGACAGCTGAACATTATGAAAGAGAACATTTTTAGCTATACTAAAAGAATGGATTCCCCAACTCATTTCTCACTTCAAGTTTATACAGTTTCATTTCTGAATCAGAATCATTCAATTCTGAATCAGAATTCAGTTTTCTCCCTTGATTCCCTGATTTTGCTAATCTCCTATCACTGTCATGAAAATTTTCAAACAGGATTCATCACCATTTTAGTCACATCTAGAAAACCCTAATGGCAATTACTACAACATAATGGATTCCTTTTCCAAATTCTTTATGGAATTGGACAATAGGATGGCTATTATTTACCTGTAATGGCAACTGTCACTGCTTCCAGTAGAGTCTACAAAAAGCAAACCCAAAAAATAGAAGGGTAAGAAAAAAATCAAACCATTAAACATTAGGTCTCCTGTTAAATCTTTGTGTATGAAAACATGCTTACTTAATTCTCAATAAGAAAATGGGAATCATACTGTATTACTGGGCTGGAAGTTGTGCTACATAAAAAGTGTAATACAAATACAAATGCAAAGTGAAAAAGAGTGAGAGACTGTCCCTATAGAAAAACAGTATATTTTCTACTGTAAGTGCACAGAATTTATACGAAACTTCTTACAAACTATTCAAGAGGATATAAAATTAATACATTTTCAATACCTTGTTGGACAGCTGTCTAACACAGTGTCTGCATCAGTTCCCTTTCCACACTTACCCTTTAAACAATCTGTTTACTTACACAGAAAAGCTGTCTTCCTGTTTTATCACAAATACAATTTAGACAACTCTTAACGCATCAATTTTTAATTGATCTACTGTGACTTCTTTTCAGAAGACTGATTTGCTACATAATCAAAAATATCCAAGAGCAACTGTTAACCTGGATCTACATATTCACAACATCAGGCAGAAGACTGAAATTTGAGGACAGCTCTGACTGATCTGCCCGTGCTGGAAACATGCTCAGAATTCAGCATCAAAAAGACAACAACTGGAGGAATAAACAATATGGCTGGTTTGAATCTCTGCTTGAGGCTGTCCATTAAACAATTTAGGTAACAGGAATGTAGTCTCCTTTCGTACTGAGCAGTTCCATAGAAAAAATCCCTGACATCAACAGAACAATGAGAGCAGATAGATTTCTACACACACACAAAAACCTTTGCTCAAACTGGTTCCAAGTTCTAACACTCTTTCTAAAAAGATGCTGAAAGAAACCTCAAGTGCCCACTATCTAGGAACAACCTGTGGACAGAATCTCCAAAAAGGAACTCAGACCTTCATAAATATATGTCTTTCAAGGAATACAAGAAAAACAAATTACATTCCTCTAGTTTCAATGAATTAATTACAATGCAAGATATTCTAGGGACTATTAAATTGAATTAATTAATTAGTAGTTTAATTTAATTAAACACTTACAAATCCAAACAGCAGGTATAAATTAACAGGGTGTTGGTGACTGTAGAAAGTCAGTGCCACGATTACAGCCAGAGATCCAAACCCAGATAGCAAAAGCAAGGCAGGCCTGTAAAATTCCATATTAAAAAAAAAAAAAGTAATTAAATTTAAGTATTTGTAAGACTATGGAACAGTT